AGGGGGGGCCCTAGAATAATGTCTAGAGATTTGAGGCTTTAAATCTTTATTCATTTTCTTTGCCTTTTGATTTGCTTTACTCACCCTCTATTCCTTATTTACGTTTCCTAAGCTCTTTAGTTGTGAAGCTTTCCAAAAGTCAGTGCGCACTTTCTTTATAAAATCACTTTAATTAAAAGTATTGAAAAACAAAAAAATCATTCAAGCAAAGGGGGTAGTCCAGCAAGCAGCTTTCTGACATTATTTAGGGGGGGCCCCTAGAATGTCTAGAGATTTGAGGCTTTAAATCTTTATTCCTTTTCTTTGCCTTTTGATTTGCTTTACTCACCCTCTATTCCTTATTTACTTTTCCTAAGCTCTTTAGTTGTGAAGCTTTCCAAAAGTTTCCAAAAGTCAGTGCGCACTTTCTTTATAAAATCCCTTATTTAAAAGTATTGAAAAACAAAAAATCATTCAAGCAAAGGGGGTAGTCCAGCAAGCAGCTTTCTGACATTATTTAGGGGGGGCCCCTGGAATAATGTCTAGAGATTTGAGGCTTTAAATCTTTATTCCTTTTCTTTGCCTGTTGATTTGCTTTACTCACCCTGTATTCCTTATTTACTTTTCCTAAGCTCTTTAGTTGTGAAGCTTTCCAAAAGTTTCCAAAAGTCAGTGCGCACTTTCTTTATAAAATCCCTTATTTCCATTGAGATTGGATGCCTTTTGATGGAGATTTCCATTAAACATTTGAAGATTTCCATTGAGATTTGATGCTTTTGGAGGCTTTTGGATGGAGATGTCTATTGAAAATTTGAAGATTTCCATTGAGATTTGATGCTTTTAGAGGCTTTTGGATGGAGATTTCTATTAAACATTTGGAGATTTCCATTGAGATTTGATGCTTTTGGAGGCTTTTGGATGGAGATTTCTATTAAAAAAATTGAGATTTCCATTGAGATTTGATGCTTTTGGAGGCTTTTGGATTGAGATTTCCATTAAACATTTGAAGATTTCCATTGAGATTTGATGCTTTTGGAGGCTTTTGGATGGAGATTTGCTTGAGATTCGATTAATATTCCAGATGTCTTCAAAGTTAGGAATTCTTATTTCCTTTTAATTTAATATTGCCAGAGGTCTTCAAAGTTAGGAATTCTTATTTCCTTTTAATTTAATATTGCCAGAGGTCTTCAAAGTTAGGAATTCTTATTTCCTTTTAATTTAATATTGCCAGAGTAGCTCCAGAGGTAGCTAGCTAAGGATTCCTTATTTAATTATCAACTGATTGATTTTCTTATACATTATTTTGGAGGCCCTGGTTGTTGAGGGGGGGGGGGGCCGGGGGGGGGGTTGATTAATCAAGAGTCTACATTAGGGCCTTGAACCACAAAGGGGTGAGCTCAGGGAATATTCCCTTCAACTAGCGTGCTGTGCAATTTGCCAGCCAACCGCTGAACAAGCCGTGCCAGAATGCCAATACTCCCACATGCCAGGAGTGTCCAATCAAGGTGAGACGGCCGCGCTCACAAGTCAAGCCTGTTTGATCCACCCTAGCGACCTTGATGACCTCACGCTGAAGAAGGTCAGGCCGTGAAGATGTCCAGCGGCTGACGAAGCTCTACACCTGTCCCCTCCCTGAAAGCAGAGCAAGAGAACCAAGAAGCTTTCTTTCTATTTCAGGGGAAACAAGAGCACGGGCAAAATGCCAGATTGCGCATCACCCCTGCGGGTGAGCCACTCAGTTACTGAAGCCGAAACACTGCAATTGAAACAGGCTCGCATATGTGCAGACTCGGGACTCACCACACTGGCCCGCAGCCTCGATGGAATCGTACGGCAGCCACGTCACTAGCTGCTCTTCC